AAAGTTTATCTAACATTTCTAAACTATACCGATTTAACTCCTATATATAAAATGAAATAGGTCTTGTAGCTGCCAGACGTTAAGTACTTTGGTATAGTTGGAAAGCTAAGCATATTGATGGCCATAATATGTGTCAAAACCATTCATTTTTATTTAGCCTTGGCAAGACAATAGCTTGTTATGTATAGAGAGTGCTAATCTCCTTACATAGTACATTTTTACCATATTTTTAATGTATTATTCAAATTTTCAGCACATTTAAAAAAAGCATAGAACACTGGAAGTACCTCTTTAAGTACCATACTTATTATCTCATTTAAATCTTTCTCATTTTATGTGAAAAAACCCCAATACTTAAAGTCATGTTTTATTCCAAACAGCAGATCTCATGTCCTTCTGAATGTTTTTGCTTCCTATCCTACATGACCAGAGCTAATCTAGATAAATAATGGAGATTAAGACAGCTGCAAACTATTACATTCATGAGAACACTGCAGATACCACGGAGCCACACACCACTAATGTTTGTATAATAGGTGAAATGTTTCAGGGGGCGTTGACAATGGACAATTTAATGTTTGTGTTTCCAACTTTTAAGATTTATATGGGGATAACAGAAATGACCTTTTTTATATTTTTTGTTGTATTTGTAAATCATGTCTGATTGTTTGCGAAGTATTACATTATGTACATTAACCCCTTCAGGTCACGGGGCTATAGCATCATCTGTCATGAAGAGGTTAAATAAAATGTTCTGTGTGGGCTTTGTGAGATAATGGAAATGCTCTAGTTATGAAAAGGAAAATAGATAATAATGAACATGTGGGAAAATGTTAAAATTATGTTTTTCTTTCAAGACCTACACAGAATATTAGACACTCAACAGCTATTAGCATGATAAAAAAAGGCGGGAAACCCTGTATGTCTGCAATATAGAAAACTATTTTTTTTCACTACCCAGGGATTTTGAGTTGCCTCCAAGTTTGGCAAAAAAAGATACCAGACCACAAACAGCAAAGCCTCATGTATTATGAACATATGTGGACCATTTAGTTTCTGGAACAGCTAGATCCAACACTGAACCCATAGCTCATCTCTGTGTCTTGGAAGGGTCATGGGAGAGTAAGGGTGAGAGTGGGGTCATCGAGTGGCCTTTCTCTCATAAATGCCACGTATTTTAGAAATCACAAACATGAAAAAGTGTTTTTGTTTTTTTATGTCTGTGAAAATGTTCAACGAAGTTCACAAATCAAACATAAACCAGCACTAAATTCTACCCAAATATCCGAGTGTCTGGGAGAAGGCTGGTATCCAACTGCCGCATTTAGTGATCTCGATTTCCTGGTGACTTATGCTAGCCATTTTAGAAGTTTTTTGTTACTCTCCTCTTCTTCCCGACCTGCCTTTTCCATCATGGTGGCACCCTGTCGTATATCTGATTGTTAGCTAGGCTGCAAATTTGCATTTCATCCTCCTTGTAGAGTTGTATTATTTTAGCTTTTGATCTTTTTCTATACATCTTTTTCATTTGGGCCATGATGTACAGTTATTGGTGAAGTCTCCACCTCATCATTCCTCAGCTGCTCCTTGTATTGATCTTCTTGGCTTATAACCTGTTATCAGGGCCGGACTGGGAAAAAAATTAGGCCCGGGCATTTTTCAATCAGAGCGGCCCCCTAAGAAGGGGGCGGGGCCAGAGAGGGTGTGTTTTGTCATCACTAATGACAAGCACACCCCCTCTCAAAGTGAGCATGTTGGTTCAATGCGCAGAGTCCCGCTGAAGTGCTCTGGCATTAGAAAAAGGCCCTGAATTTGTTCTGCGCAGCGCAAGCTAATTTAATAACATGCTTGCGCTGTGTTTGCTTTTAAATTGTCTCTGGTGTCTCCACAAGTGGGATACCAGAGGACAAAAGGGCCAGGAAAGTGCATGGTGCATATGTTTGTGGGATTGCGTGTGTGTAGAGTGTGGTGTGGTATTGTGTAAATAGGTCAATTTCATTTGTGTTTGTTGTGTAATATGTGTGGCTAGGGGCTGTAGAGAGTGTGTGTATAGGGGGCATAGTTTTATAGGGGATGTAGAGAGGGTGTGTTTGGAGAATGTTGTATGTGTTTGCTGACAAGGAATGTAGTGTGTGTGTGTAGGAGATCTACTGTGTAAAGGACCCAGTGTGTGTGTGTACAGGATTAAGAGTGCATTTAGGGTAAGGGATCTAGCGTGTATCTGGAGCGTAATGTGTGTAGTGGTGCAGTGTGAGGGGTGCTGTAGTGTGTGTGTGTATATATATATTTGGACGTATTGTATGTGTGAGGGGCGCAGTGTGTGTATGTAAGAGGGGTGCTGTGTGTGAGGGTGTTTTTATCTGCTGTCACATTCTAGGTTTCTAATTTTCTTTGTCTATTAACTCACTGAGGGTTATTTTATATATATATGTGTGTGTGTGCTGTGTATGTGTGGGAGTGTGATGTGTGCATGACTGAATGCGCTGTGTGTGTCTGGGGGTGCGCTGTGTGTGTCTGGGGGTGCGCTGTGTGTGTCTGAGGGTGCTTTGTGTGTTTGGGTGCTGTGCTGTGTGTGTCTGGGGGTGTGCTGTGTGTGTCTGGGGTGTGCTGTGTGTGTCTGGGGGTGCTTTGTGTGTTTGGGTGCTGTGTGTGTTTGGGTGCTGTGCTGTGTGTGTCTGGGGTGTGCTGTGTGTGTCTGGGGGTGTCTGAGGGTGCTGTGTGTGTCTGGGTGCTGTGTGTTGTCTGGGTGCTGTGTCTGTCTGGGTGCTGTGTGTGTGGGGGGTGCTGTGTCTGGGTGCTGTGTCTGGGTGTGTCTGTCTGGGTGCTGTGTCTGTCTGGGTGCTGTGTGTGTGGGGGTGCTGTGTCTGTCTGGGTGCTGTGTGTTTGGGGGTGCTGTGTGTGTCTGGGTGCTGTGTCTGTCTGGGTGCTGTGTGTGTGGAGGTGCTGTGTCTGTCTGGGTGCTGTGTGTGTCTGGGTGCTGTGTCTGTCTGGGTGCTGTGTGTGTGAATGTATTTTTTATTTAAATATATTTATTTTATTAATAAAAAAAATTATATTCCCCCCCCCCCCTTCTTACTTTTATCCTGGGAGGGGGGGGAGGAGATCCGTTCTGCCATGGGAGAGCCATGCTGCCTGATCCCTGGTGGTCCAGTGGTAAGAGTGAACTCTAACCTGCGGGTTAGAGTTCACTCTCGCGAGATTTGAGAGTTGCCGCGGTAACCGCGGTCCTCCCTCCCACCCTCCCTCCCCAGCCGGCAGCCGTATCTCCCTGTCTGTGGGCCGGTGAGGGAGATCTTTGATCTCCCCACCGGCCCATGGAGGCACATAGCGGGGCCGGCGCTCGGATAGCGCTGGCCCTGCAGGGGCCGGCCGGGGAGATCCTGTGATCTCCCTGCCGGCCTCGGCCCCACGGCCATCGCGTCCCACCGGGCATTTGCCCGGTGTGTCCGATGGCCAGTCCGGGCCTGCCTGTTATTGTAAAAACTTTTAAATTGAGAGCTATTTTTGTACTAAGTCAGACATTGCTGGTTGGGGTTGTCGGGGTGTCAGAGAGGCTGTGGGGGTTGATGCCTTGGTGGACATAAGGAATTCATAATTTTAGTCCTGTCACTCTCCTTCCTCATTTAGTGATGACAAATAGTGATGACAGGCAGACAGAATCATGGAAAAACAATGGGAATCTATATATAATGATCTATATAATATGAAGGCTGTACAAACTGGTACAGTTTCTCAGATATCCCTTGATTGACTATTAGACCTCTCAACATATGGTGTGACTATGAGTACGGACGCCATGTTTGAGCTCCACGCGTCAAAGATCAGTTTAGGTTTGTGAGGTTCACACTGTAGAATGGCCCCTCACATTGGTCAGTTTTTTCTGTATTATGATCAGAATGGTCCCATTAGGGTTGCCAGGTTTTCATGGATACAAATCATGAATTTATGCCGCAGACAGGTGCATGAAAAGTGCTACCCCAAACAATGTGCAAATAATATTCTACAAGAGAGAAACCAAATAATTAATGGTAAAGGGGCCCAGAAAAACCTGACTGTGATGGAGCTCACTGTACCCTGGCTGGGTACCTCCACTGACGGATGCTCCTAGAGCTTCTCAAGGACCATCAGCACCGCACCAGACACCATGAGCACTGCAGACTCCACGAACCGCCATAGTCTGGTTCCAGGACCGTGTGGGAAGGACCTCTCCTCCAGGAGAGTATAGCTTTATAGCTGAAGAGAGCTCTTACAAGAGCTAGCAGTGATATAGCAATCATAGCTGTTCCCTACAACACGAGACGAGGCTGCGAGTTGAGGGTAAGAAGGTCTGGTTTATTGAACACAAAGGCATTTCTTTTATACACATTTTCAGGCCAGAGGCACACCCTCTAGACCTAATGGAACACGGACACAAGGAACATAAACCAATGGGAACAATAATTAGTACTGTAACACTCCCACATACAGTCAACAAGCCCTCCCCTCTGCCTGTGATATAATTAAGATAGCTAATGGAATAACTTAATTATCCATAGGCAAAAAATCCATTTTTACCCAAAGTTCAGAAACACCCCAAAACGCAAACATATCCCCATAAATTATACATCCCTGGATAGCTCTGATCTGGGCGAACAACATATCCAAAAATCTCAGAGATCAAAGCAGGGGTTCAAAAGTTTCATGGAAGTCTCTTTTGAGCGACCACATGTATGATTTCATGCCCAAAACAGTTCCAGAGAATTTGGCTGTGCGGCCGGTCTATTTCTAATACTAAGTTCCGTTCGAATGCACGAACAGGGGCTGTTCGTGAAAATAACCAAGTTTAAAGTGTCGTTTGTATTGTCGAATGCCGCTTGACTCCCGTCGAAGAGTCGAAGTTCCAGAAAAGGTAAAGTTCAGCAGTGTTCATGCCGTCACGTGTCCGATTTGAGTTCCATGAACTCGACGACCAAACACCGCCGAACGCGTTCGACTAAACAAAATGGCCGCCGCCACGTGTTCGAATTTTTGAATGGCGCCGACTTCTACCCTTCGGCTCTATCCGAAGTGCCATTTCGACTACTTAGAAAGTTTAAAGAGCCATTGTCCACAATCCCAATAGGCAGAAATAGTTCCTTAGAACAAAATAAGTCACAGGGGCCATAGTTAAAAGGTAAAAGGCTAACAAGTAGTCCTCTCCAAAACCCAGTGGCGAAGTGCAATTCGTCACACATCTTCCCTTTCCAGGGGAGACTAATACTCATTAATAGCATGCACTGAAAAAACACCATAACAGCAATGTTCATTGCTCTCTGTCCCTCTAAAGTCAAGGGAGACCATTTCAGTTTCCTTAATGGAGCTATGTTGCATGAACAATAGAGACGAGCACATGAAAGGTGTAGATAGCATACCTCCCAGCATTTCAAATGGACAAAGAAAGACACTTTAATTTTAGGGGTGTGAGTGGGGGTGTAACCAGGGGCTGGGCTATTCTTTGAAAATGTAAATGAATTATTAATGACAATTCTTGCAACTAACATGCAATTTTACAAGAAAAATTTCTTATTACCCAGACTGATTTCTAAACACATACATTATAGTTTAAAGACACATTACTGTGAGTATTATTGCGGTGGAGCTCTGTTATACACTCAGACACACCAACAGCATGGAGCTCCTAGAAAAGAGGGACATTAGGGTAGAAAGGGGGGCAGAGTGATTTTGGTCCAAAATGAGGACTGTCCCTCCTAAATAGTTACACTTGGGAGGTATGAGATGGTAACCCATGGTACCTATTGATACACAGGTGCAAATAGAAGGCAACTGTATTTACTGTATGTCAACATCATTGTTATTATTATTGTTTTTTATATAGCGCCTACAAATTCCACAGTGCTTGCAACTTTAATGTTCTTATTCTTTACACATTAGGCTATTCATCCAACTTAGAAATGACCAGTGAATGTATATTTTATATCCTGAATAGCAATATGTCACACATTGTCTTTATATCATGTGTGTGTATTTTTTCCTTTCCCAAGCAAACTGGTTTTGTTTATCTAATATCCTTAAGGAAACTGAGGGACAGTTTGAAGGCCAGGCACTGCCAGTACACCTAAAACAGGGAATACCTAGAGGTATGTATTAAAAAGATAAAAAAAAAAAAAAAAAAAGTAAATTCCCACCATTGTTCCTTAAAAGAACACTGTAGGGACCATAACCACTTCAACATAAAAAGTGGTTATTGTGCCCAGAATATGTTTACTCATGCTTTAGTAAATGGTTTAGTGCAGATGTTAGGTCCCCTATGCTTCCGGCTCA